CAAGGCTGTGGAGGGAGTCCCCATGGACTGGTACCTATCAGTGGCCTGTTAGGATGTGGACCACATGGCAGTGAGTGGGCAATGAAACTTCCGTATTTACAGCTGCTCCCCATTGATCACACTACTGCCTGAGCTCTGTCTCCTACCAGATCAGCAGCAGCATTAGATTCTCACAGAGTAAGTGCTCTACTACGAACTAAACAGGGTGGGTATGTTTGGTTGCATGTTCCTCATGAAAAATCTAATGCCTGATGATTTGAGGTGGAGCTGGGGTATTGATGCTAATGCTGGTGAGAGGCTGCAAATACAGATTAACATTAGCAGAGATGTCTGACTGCACCAAGACCTTTCAAACTCATTTCAAAACCCTGTCACTAAGTGGCAAGTAAAATTAAGCTGCATCTGGTGGCAGGCTATAGGTGGATTGATGCACTTTGATTGTATAGATGAATCTTGTGGCAAGAGTTAAGTTAGAATCTTGACACTTTAGATTGCACACGACCTGCCCATTATTTTATTTACCACTTCTCTCTGTGCCTCTTTCCCACATGCACAATCGTCTCAGTCATAGTTTTGTTAAGCCCACCAGCTAACCCTCTCCAGAGCGAGTAAGAAACAAACATCACTAAGAGGTTCTTCAAAAAGGGAGAAGACCAATGATGAGACACAGCAGACTGCCAACAAAAAGAAAGACTCACTTAAAATAAAATATCAAGAGTCCTACGTAAACTGTAAGTTCATTGCAACAGGTGATTCACATTCTCCAAGTACAGTCTGTATAATATATAGCAACCAGCTATCTAGCAAAGCCATGAAACCCAGCACACAGCTTTGCCACATAGAGACCAAGCAACCTGCATTAACAGATGAGCCTTTGAAGTTTTTAAAAGGAAAAAAAAAAAAAAACCAAGAACACAAGGGACTGACACAACTACTGAAAGTCGCCACTTCATGAAACTTATATGCACTGAGAGCACCATTCTTAGAAGCTAACTGCATTGCTAAAGTTAAGAAGCCTGTTACTCTTGGTAAGAGACTGATCTTGCTTGGTGCTAAGGATATTTCTTGTGAACTTTTAGAAGAAGCTGCATTTTGAAAAATGGTACATGTTCCTCTCTTGTCTAGCAAAATTAGGTGGGTTAATGAAATAGCAAAGGAGGAGGCATAATTGTTAGAATTAATGAATGACCATGGTATCAATCCAGATGCCATATTGTTCCATGAAATATATATTTTAGGAGTGTAGGAGACAATTTGAGTGACTCCCCATGAAACAGAACAATTGCTGAAATATTAGACTTATACCCATATATTGATATGTACGGAGTAGGGCTATGCTATTCCCTTTTCTCTTCCATTGGTTCTAAGCAATGCAAACAAGGCCAGCTGAAGTAGTGATATGCAATCTTTGGGGCCAATCTGACAGTTTCCTATTTCCTCGCATAGTGTTCTCTGCAAAAGATCTGAGCACAGTGGCATGGCAGAGTCAGTTAACTCCAGGAATGTCAGCTGGGTATGAGCCTCAAAATACAGAGCTTATGAGTCACCAGGACACAACAGTTTACATGTCATAAACTGGAACAACCTCCTAATACAATTCAAATGCTACCCTAATTGAATTATGTAGATTGATCCTTCTGCATGTCATTCTCCTTGCATTTTACAGAGATGCTTTTCTCCCCATCTGGCTAGACAGCTCAAGTTATTCGTCATCCTCACTGTCACTCATCCTTGAACTATTCACTTCTTCATGAGATAATAAAATCTGGGAGAGGCCTTAGATTGGCCTTTGTCCGTATAACATCACTTGGATCAGGCTTAGGACCCCTTGGCTGCCCATAACTTGGAATATGGCTTGGTGTTTTTACTCTTGCTGTGGGTTGTATTAAGAGATGGTAGATCAGAATTAGCTTGTTGGGATCCAATAACGTCTCAGTGGGATTACAAATATAACTTTTTGGATTGTGAAGAAGACTGGAAAAGGGATTACAATACTTAGATAATGATATTCATTATTTGGATTACAAGAAGGATGTGCACGAGAATATGTTATGTGCATGTTTGCTGCTAACCAACAGGATACCTGCACAACTATTCTAGTCTGAATGATTACAGAGCAGGATAAATGAAGCGGATGTTTTGTGTCAGTACATGCATGGATGGTCACCATGACTGGATGGCTTTCTGGTTTCACTACTTGGGTCAAGATGTTGCTTCCAAACATGAGTTTACACACTATGTCATACACAGAAAAATGCTAACTTGTAGAAAAATGCCACCCAAACTTAACAATGTTTTATAGGATGTGATTAAAACCATTAAGCACATTACAGTGCGTGTCCTTAACTCATATCTATGCAATTCTGTGAGGATATGGAGGGAGAGCACATGTCTACTCTTACACACAGAATGGAGATGGCTTTCTAAAGGTAAATTATTAGCAGAGTTTTTGAGATATGACAGCAACTCCAGAGACTTTTCAAAAAACAGTAACCACTGGCAGGACATTTCAGTGACACAAAATGGAATACAAAACTTGCTTACTCATGTGACATATTCAGCCTGCTCAGTGAACCTAGCCTGTCACTTCAGGGAAGAATGAAAATTGTATACAAACTGGCAGACAAAGTGGATGTACTCGGAGCCAAACTGGAATTGTATGGGCAACAGGAGAATATTGGGATTTTTGATGTTTTACACTTCAGCAGAGATTTTGCAAAACAATGAGGTAGTCAGGGCCTTCTTTCTCCCTGTGCATTATCACCTGTTTTAGCTTTCAAAAGAGTTTGGGCATTACTTCCCAACCACAAAAGATCCCCACTGCGAAGGAATGGACCGGTGGCCCATTTATGAGTAAGTCAAGTGTCTTAGTTAATTTCTCATAGCTGCAACAAAATACCTGACACCCACAAGTTAAAGGAGAAGAGGTTTATTTTAGCTCATAGTTGGTAGATATTTCAGTCCATAGTTGGCTGACTTGAAGGCAGAGTGGCACGGCAGAGGAGAAATAGTTCATGGCTTGGCAGGCAGGAACCAATGAGTCTTCTTCCTTTCCCTTTGTATTCCACCCAGGCTACAAGCCTGTGCCACCCACACTCAGAGTGGGTCTTCCCTGCTCAGTAAATCCTTAATCCACACCCAGAGTTACATTAAACCAATCTGTGGAATAATCCAGTATCACACTCATAATCTAATCATTTCCCAGACCCTTCTCTATGGCACATGAGGCTCTGAGGGGACATCTAGATATAAGCTGTAACATTAGGTAAGTTGACTTTGTCTGTGCTAGAAAGGGAGATCACAAATGCTAGTGGCCTTAAAAGTATGGCTGAGGCAACTTCAAATCTCTAGACATTCTAGATTAGTCAAAGTGGAATATCCTGAGATGGCCACAAAACCACTCAAATCCTGTTTCCATTCTGTACATCCTATCTTTGTGAAACAGTTTTCTGTAGTGATAGCAACCAAAAAAAGATTATGGAGAAGACTTTGGTGTCACTCTTTTCCATCAACCCTATAAGGAATTGTCTAGTGGCAGGGAAATAAGCTTGGTGCTTTCACTAACTCTGCATTATGATGGATTACATATTATAGTGTAATAACAGTTGAACAGTAAAGGAGCTTAAACCATTCCAAAAACATCCCCTACTCATACTCTGGTCCATGAAAAGTTTGTCTGCCATGAACCTTGTCTGTCTCTGGTGCCAAAAATTTTGGGGACCACTGACTTAATTCACAGCAGTGGAGAAGCAGAACATGGGAACAATGCTAATAAGAAAGAGGCCATGGACCCTATATAGCATCCAAGCCATGCCTTCATGGTTCACCCACACACTTACGAGTGTGCTTTACTAATGCCCTAGGCCGCTGCCAAGCCAATCAAATTGACATGCTTAAGCTTAACCACCACATAAGGAGCTCAGAAGAACCAGTTCTGCACCAGGTTTGGTGGTGCACAGCTGTAATCCCAGGTATTCACAGTGTGAGGCACAAGAATTGTAAATTAGAGACCAGCCTGGACAACATAGCTAGACCCTGTCTTTAAAAATTTAAAAACAAAGGCTGAGACTACAGCTCAGTAGTAGAGTAACTGCCTAGCATGAACAAGTCCCTGGCTTCAATCCTCAATGCAGCCAAAGTAAACAAGAACAATAAAAATCTGTTGACAACTTATTTTGGACTTTCTTTTTTTTCTTTGTCTTTTTGAGACAGGGTCACTATGGAGTTCAGGCTAGCCTTGAACTCAATTTGTAGCTCAGGCTGGTCTTGAACTCACAACAATCTTCCTGCCTCAGCCTCCCAAGTGCTGGGATTACAGGCTCGAGCCACCACGCCCAGCTTGATCTTGGACTTTCAACTTCTGGAACTGTGAGAAAATAAATTCCTCTTGTTAAAACCACTTAGTCTATAGTTTTTGACAGCCCCCCTAAGTAATACACTGGGGAAGAGTTTTAGGGCTATGGCCTTCATTCTGAATGAATTGGAGGACCCTTTGAGTTAGTTGTTGGGAAGCAAGAAAATCAATGAAAATGTGTTTCACACAGAAAAGGCAGCATTTTTTTAGTCAAATGTAACTAAGAGATTGAAGCCCAGAGATTGTCCTTTGCATTTAATAACAGTAGCTTCAGTAAGAGCAGTTCTGGTGGAGTGGAGTATAAATGCCTGAGTACAGTGTGCTGCAGGATGGAAGAAGAGGAAATGAAGCCAAGGAGTTTATAGTTTTGCTGTCCAAAAGAGCAGAGAAACGTGGTAAGAGCTACATGGTGAGGTAATTTTGTTTTGCTTTGAGATGGGAGAAAATAGAACATGATTGCATGTGCAGATGAAGAATAATGTAGATTTGCACACAAACGGTTAAATCTTCACAAGGTTCTGATGAGTCTCATCTTCCATATTCTTCTAAATATACCACTGATGGATGCAGTTCTTATCGATTTATCACGTGCTCAAAAATCTTTAGAGTGTTCTTAACTGCTGCAAGAAGAGTTCAAATGTCTTACCTAAAGATTTAAGTCTTCTCTACTAGGGCCCTTTGCAATTCATTTCTCTCTCTTCTCTAGAATCCTATAAAGAGGAGAGAAGCAAGTCAGACAACAGGCAAAAACCTCGAATTACAGTCATGTTTCTATAGCTACTTATGCGACCTTGGACAAATTATGTAAGTGCACCTGGCTGGGCTTCTTCCGGTGGCTTGGATTATCCATTGTGTCAAGTTATCTCTAACACTGGGATCCTCTCCTCAACTTGTCTCATCCCTTCCAGCCACTTCTGCGGATAATAAGACTTGTGCGGTAACTTACTTGTTTCTACTTTGCTTTTGCCTTTCCAAATAGACTCTGCTTTAGAATTGCCATAACAGCAGTCCCTTTAAGGTCGGTCTCCTCCCCACCACTTAGTACTCACCCACTCTGGGCCCCAGGGGACCGTCCTCTTCACAGTCAAAATCCGCCACGTATTAGGTGCAGCTTCCAACCAATCAAAAAGCAGTTAGCGCAGATGTTTGAAGGGCATTCATTTCCACCAATAACCTTCAAGTCTTCTCCAGCGCCACGCTTTGATGGGCGAGGCCAACTTCCAGGATGGCCAGTCTGGGTAGTCCGGGAATCGCAGAGTTTACCAATCAAGTGAGAAGACTCTGGGGAGGGGCGTTTCTCATTGGTAGCCGCGTCCGGAAAAGGGCAAGGCTTCGAGGAATGAAAATACGATTTGATTGGAAAGTGTGATGTTGACCACCGGGGAAATCCCCGCCTTTTTCAGAGTGGCAGGATCCTCAGCCAATCGGAGAGAAGCTGCGCGGAACATTTGCTCAATGGGCGATGTCCGCGGGACGCTGTCACTCAGGTGGTGGCGGCGGAGGCCGGGCTGAGACGTGGCCAGGGGAACGCGGCAGGCTGTCCAGTCTATCCGGGAGGCAGCGGGCTCGCTAAGGCGTCCTCTCCGGGGTCGGAGTCTTGGAGCGGCGGGAAAAGCGGGCGCCGGCGGCTGCGCCTCCATGCCCGCGCGCGGGGCCGGCCGCTGATGGAGCGCGCCGCCCGCCCGGGGCCGCTGGCGCGGGCACTGCTGATGTTCCAGCTGCTGCTGGGGCTGGCGACTGGGACGGTGGCGGCTGGGCGCGCCCGCAACCTGCCGGCCCCGACGGCAGAGGCAGCGTTCGGCCTGGGGGCCGCGGCCGCTCCTACCTCGGCCGCGCGAGGGCCGGCTGCGGGGGCCGTGGCCGCAGCCGAGGTGACTGTGGAGGACGCCGAGGCGCTGCCGGCAGCGGCGGGCGAGCAGGAGCCACCAGACCCCGAGGACGACGACGCCGAGCTGAGGCCGCGCGGCAGGTGAGTGAGGCGCCCCCGAGCCGAGAGGGCAAGGGTCGCATGTGGTGGCTAGGGGACAGTGACACCTTCTCACCCTCGGCCCTTCGGAGAGACCAGCTTGGAAAAGGGTGTACAGAGGTTTGAGATGACACTTTTAGTTGTTTTTAGTTGTTTGTTTCAGGCTTTCGTTCAATCTGCGAGCAACAGATTCTTTATTTTTCTTTATGTGAATCACCCTTTACTTGGGTGATGTAACAGCAGTTTTGAAAAAGGCCTGTCGAAAGAGATGGCATGCCTATATTTTCCTTTAAAAACAACTCTAGTGCCCCTGGACGCGGGCAGTGAACTGTATTTCTCTAATTGAGATCTGCGGAACACCTGCATCAGAATCACCTGGGGATGCTGGTTAATGTACAGGTTTCTGGGCTCCACCCTAACTTTACGGAATCGACATTTTTCTGGATAAGAATCTGGAATCTGCATGTTTAACAGCTGTCTGGATAATTCCAAAATACTCAGAAGTTTAAGAACTCTGGTTATAGATTCTTGAATACTGGCAGTTCTTTGATATTGAAGGAGTTTACTATATGAACATGTAGTTTAGGGTTATCTTAATTGGGTTTCTTAGCCTTTTTAAGCACACCATTTCAAGGTGCATGTTTTAAAGCACTTCTCAAAGTTTGGATGTGAGTATAAGACATGTCGCTGTAAAATATTTTGCAGATAGCCCAGCTAGGGAAAAAGTGATGTTTTATTTAAGAAATGGAATGAGAACAGAACATTAGGTATATCAAGCCAGGAAGAGTCAGAATCTGGATTACAAAGTATTTAAAGCTTACAGTAATAACTAGATCATCATAAGTTAGATTTAAATTTTAGATAAATATAAGAACATAAATCTATATACCTGGAGAGCACTGTAAGTGTAAATACTGAAATTCTCTAGGTGCCATTTGAATGTTTATATTGAACTTTTTTTTAGGCAACAAGAATCTAGCAGCATTTTCTTAGGTCTGCTAATGAGTCAGCTCTTCTGGAAGAATATTGTTTTTCTTAAACTTCTGAGACAGCTGCTGGATGATGAAGTAGAATAAGATGTTTTGTTTGCCTCCCAGTGCACATCTGTTTTAGCAGGTACTGGAGTCCACAATGCCCTTGGGATTACCGAGGTTGGGCAGGTAAATCCTGAAATCCAGCAGGAATGTGCAGTCCAGCAGTGGGGAAGAAATGAGAGACTTCTAATGGCATTACAGAGCAGAAGCAGCGCAAATATAACCCTGGCTGCCCCAAGATTTTTGTGTTCACTGGGTTGGTTATGAGGATGGAGTAGGTTATAAGATAAGAAAAAGGCTGGAGCAGAAAAGCTGACTCTTGAGAAATAGTTAGAATTCTGGTAGACATTGGACTGGAAACATCAGCAAACCCAGAAATTGTAATTATATTTGAGAACATTTTGTCTGTACCTGTGTGTGTGTGACCTGTGTGTATGTGAGCGGTACAGATGTGTATTCTGTGCAGGGAGGAATAGAAGAGGAGGCTGGAAAAATAGACTGGAGTGTGTGTGTGTGTGTGTGTGTGTGTGTGTTGTTACACTGTTAGCATCATCATCATCAAACATGTTAGAACCTCTGGCTCACGAACCACTGGCTAAGCGCCTGCATTTTAGCAAAGTCACTATTGATTCACATGCACATCAATTTGAGAGATGCTACATAGAGGATCTTGAATGCTAGGCCTGATCAAACTTATGCGTAAGGAATAGTTCTCTAGCAACAGTACTGAAAACTCAAGGTAAAGAAGAGATACCAAAAGGAGAGTTTTCTTGCCCTTCAGAGAGGCTCAGTGTTATGCAGTATAAAACAGGTGACAGATTTGAGAGACATCAAGGCAAAATCTTTGTTCCTGGCAAATGAATTGATTCCTTTTCTCTTGGCACTTGTCTAGAAATTGAGATGAAGCAGCCAAGAGTTGAAAGCATATATAGGAAAAGCAAGAGTTTGGGGAGCAGGGAAGAAAAGATCAGGGTTTGGTGTTGGACATGCAGGCAAGAAGATGTCCAGAGGGAGACACTTGGTGGCTGGTAGAAATGAGTGACAGACTGGAGAAAGGTTGGGGTACACAACTGAGGTTGCGAGAAAGAGGGACCCAAGAGAAAACACGAGAAACGTCTTTGTCTGTTAGGGAAGAGGGTGAACCAGCGGAAGAAACAAATACATCTGCTAGATGGGAGGTGTAGGGTGAAAACTGGGAGGAAATAAAGATTTGGTGCTGAGCACGCATAAGAAAGAATTTAAGTAATGCTGCAGAAATAAAAAGACAGATTGCAAGAGGTTAATGATTCATCCCTTTCTGCCCCACTCCTTCCTTTCCTCACTGATGGGAGGCAGTTTTAGGGCAAAGGACCAGATCTTATTTATAGAGTGAAAGGAGGAAATGAAGGTAGTTGGAGAGGATCTGCTTGCTAAGAGGAGGATTACTTCTTTCTCAGAGAGAAGAGAGGACATAGATGAATTTTGCCTATAAAGAATGAGTGATCTCTGGCAGACAGAATTGGCTGGGAACAAATAGGACCTAATTTAGGGATCTGCCTGCAATATGAAACTTAGTGTGCAATATATGAGAAATCTTTGGGAAGTAATTTGATAGTCCTTGACAGATAAATATGCAAAGTTTCAAAGTCCCCCCCACACAAAGGCTCTTAAAAAAAAGTCAAAAACCAGAGACTGTGAGTTCCAAAATAATAGACCAATATCCTGTTTGTTTCAAGAAGGAGGATTAGAGGAACAGATTTGAGTTAACCAAGCGTTTATTACAAACAGCTGTGAGGAACTACTGTACTGTACTTATAACACAGTTAAGGGAGATGAGAAAGTAAGATCTTTACTTTTGTGTGCTGTCTTTTGTTACTTAAACAAGTTGAGCCTTAGCCAGTTCATTATTTGCTTTTTTTGTCTTCATAGAACATTTGGCTATTTGTTGGGTTCATTTAGAATGCTCATTCTGGATCTCAAGCATGTGAATGAGTGAATAAATTCTTTCTTTGTTCAAAAAAAAGTACCTGTCAAGTGTTTCTCCTGTTAAATATTACATGTAGTTGAATTGTAAATGATGTATTCTTTGTAGAACATTTGGGAGAAAGCCTCACTCTTACCTCAGTGTTAGGTTTTATGGGTGTTGGGATAAGTTTTATTACCAGGTTGCTAACTCCAGCACTGATCACAAGTTGCAGAGTATTGCTTGGGCTTCTTGCAGTAAGTTGGACATATTCACCCTGAAGATAATCTGACCACCTCCGAAGTTGTAAAGAACTAGTTTTATCTTGGCCGTACACTGACTTGCAAAATGTATCTCCTTTTATCTCAGTGTCTAATTTCTCTCTTAACAAAAATACTAATAAATCTGACATTGATCTCTGATGCTTCTTCAGTTTGTGCATGTGTAATCTTGAATTTTTTGGCATAAATGAAAATACTTTGAAAATACTTTGCAAATATAAGCTTTCTCTTTCCTTTAACCAATAGCCGATGTGAAACAAGGTACAGAAATTATCCTTCCTCATATTTTAACCACTGGTGGAGCACTGAATAATAAAGCATCTCAGAATCAGGTGCTGAAAGGGAGGTCAATCACCTACACCCATCTCTGTGCAGGCTCTGGTTAACCAAAATCCATATTTCAAGAACAATTTACAAATCACTTTTAAAGCAGATTGGTAAGCCAAAATATATATACTTGCGAGTAATGGATGATCCTTGTCTGTACTTGTCTTTAGCTTGATTAATGCCCCAGTGCTGTGTGTATGTGACGGGGACAGGAGACAGCCCTTTATAGGAGCCCAGCTCTGTGTGCTCCTGGACATTTGGCCAAAGGAGCCTCACTCTGTCAGTTGCTGTGCGCAGTAGTTACCTTGTGCCTCATTCTCTCATTATTATCTGTGAACTCCATCTCCTTGCTTTTTATAAGAGAGCTGCTTATATGTATGTATTAGAGATTATTCCCAGCACTGAAAACAAACACATAAAACTTGTAAGTTACAGAGGTGAACACTGTACCAAGAAAGAAATCAAATGCATTTTTTAAACCCAGTTGTATTTATAAGTAATGATTTTGATTTAAAATGTTTCATAGAATACAATAGAAATGTTTCCAGAAATGTTTTAACAGGGGTGGAGGAATGGGGAGGATGTACAAATGTGTCATTTGCGTGTTACCCATAACATTGAAAAATTGAGATACTTTTTTTAACAGTCTAATCAATATGTCAGAGTGACCCAGTATGCTTGATATTTATATATTTGACTTTTTTTTGGTTTTTGAGACAGGAGCTCACTTGTGTAGTTCAAGCTGGCCTTGAACTCACTTTATAGCAGAGCTGGCCTCGAACTCCCAGTGATCCTTCTGGCTCAGCCTCCTGAGCTTTGGAATCACAAGTGTGCGCTGCCATGCTGGCTGTCTTATTTGTTGTGGTTTGGGGTGTGGCTAACCTTGTGAGATGGTTAAATAAAGCAGGTTTAATTTAAAGATTTACTTAGTAGGTGAAGACTAAGACAAAGTCCAGTTAGTATTAGTTTTTTTTTTTTAGATAAGAACATATGCTTTCTTCAGTGAGAGCATATGTTTAGGTGCAGAATTCTTTGGTACGTTAAAAAAAAAAAACAGATGTAGCGAAATCACATGTTCAGCTTTGAATGTTTTTTCCTTAAAAGAAAAGGGACGTAAAAATTTAAAATAAGCAGTCGTTAGTGTAGGACCTGTTCACGCCTGTTACCTGCTTCTGTTCCTTCTCAGGGGAAATTTTTAAATGACCTTGTGAAGGAATTTAGTGTACACTTAACCAGAATCCAATAGATGTAAGCTGGCCAGTGTTCTGGGTGACTTAAGTCAGAGCAAACAGTTCTCTAAAATTTGTGTATTCATTGTGGCATGAGGTCATTTCTGCTCAGTTGAGGGCATAATCAGAGCAATTACAAGATAAATGACATGTTGATGAGATTTCTGGAAGGAATAAAATGCAGCACATTATAATAATACGGTGGTTGCCATTTATGCAAACTTAAGAGTTTACAGAATAATAGAGTTAGGGGACCTTTGTTCAAAATTTACTGCATGTATGAACTGAGGCAAGTTTATGCAAATTTATAGTTGACAGAATAACAGAATTTGAGTTAGGAGATCTGACTTTCCTCTTTTGTCCAGAACTTAGGTGGTGCATGATTGAAGGTAAGTCATCTCTTCATGTTTCAGCCTGTTTTTGTTTTATGTGGGTATACATTTACTGCAGTTTATTGAGGGCTAGATTCTGTATAGTGTTGGGTTCTAAGAGTAGGTAAATGTCTTTTACTAGAGAAGTTCCAAGTCTGACAGGGAGATAATTGTGTTAAAGAGTTAACTGTACACCTGTAATCCCAGCACTCAGGAGGCTGAGGCAGGAGGATGGCTGCAAGTTTGAGGCCACCTGTGCTACAGAGTGAGTTCAAGTCAGCCTGAACTGCATAGTGAAACCTTGTCTCAAAACAAAAAAAGTTAATTATATTAGAATGGCTAATAGTTGTCAGAAAAGAACTGTGAAGGTGAAGAGAATAGAAATATCAAGTGCTTGAATGTGAAAAGTGTGAAAGACCACATAGCTAGGGACACAGAGGAAATTCCACGCGGGGGCACCGAGCAGCAGTTCCTATGCCAAAGCTCCTGGACTTCTATAAATCTGTGTAGAGGGAGCTCATGTTACTTACTCATTTATTAATGGTGCTGGCATTGAACCGAGCACCTCGTACATGTTAAGCAGGTACTTTACCACTGAGCTGCATTAAGAGGACTGACACTGTCAGTGTTTTGAATAAGCAGGATTTTTAATATGCTAATTTAATTTTTTTGTGCTCATGCTGCTCGGGATTGAACCCAGGGCCTTGTACATGCAAGGCAAGAACTCTACCGCTGAGCCACACTCTCCAGCCCCAATATGCTAATTTGAAGTCTTATTTCTTTACTTTGAATAAGTATTTTATCATTCCTTAGGTAATAGTTATGCTTATTTCTTTCCAGAAATCCTAAACATTTAGATTTATTCTTAAAGATAGAAGAATTCATTATAAGCAGTGTTCCTTTGGCAAGTGTATTATTTTAAGGCAGGGAACAAAATGTAAATAAATGAAAGAACTTTGTTGGAAAGGTTAGAAACCTGGAGAAGTAGTGTGTGTGCTGTGGGGTGAAGGGAGTGCAGGAGAGGGAGCTAGATTGGCAGAAAAGGTAGAGCGTGAGATTAGGAGAGAACACTGAACCCAGACTGGGAGAGGCTCTATGTGCCATACCAGGCAGTGGGCCCCTTCTCAGTGGGCACAGGGAGTGCCCAAGATCATCACCATGGAAACAAGACCCTTGTAGTCAAGCATGGTGACAAATGACTGTGATCTCAGTACTCTGGGAGACTGAGGCAGGAGAATCACTGTGTTCAAGCCAGCCTGAACTGCATAATGAGACCCCCCAAAAACAAACAAGAACAAGACTATTGAAAGAACAGAGAAAGAGACATGCAGCAGGAAAATATTTCAGAGACTCTTCCTTTTTTTTTGGTCTTTTTGGATTTTATCAGTACCAGGGATCAAACTCACGACTGCCTGC